CCTGTAGGTCTAACCCATGTCAAAAAATATATTTATTTGGGGTAATTCCATTTATTAGCCACCAATGAGTGCACCTCATATACTCTAATTTTATTTCTTTTTTAACTGTAAATAGACATGGACCCAAGAAGTGAAAAAATCTCCCCTTTTCTTTTCTCCCCCCATCACCTATTTATACAGGGCTACGCAAAAGTTACTATGCAGACCTAACTTAAAAAAATTGTACTTTTTTTGCTAATAAAGCTATCGACATTAAACAAACTGTTAATTGTTAAGAAAATATTTCTTTTTTAAACCATATAGGACACATTTAGTTATTGATACCCTAAATGATCTTTGGGAATTTTTTTAAAAATGCAATTTTTTGGCAAAATTGTCTAATTTTATAAATTCATATATTCTTAGAACAACTTGCCAGCAAAATTTTTTTAATGTAGTTTGTTACCATAGATCTTACTCTATATAAAAGCAATGAAAACATTTTCAAATAATATTGGCTAAGAGTTCAAAAAAATATAATAAAAATCCATGTTTTCGAAAAATCACTATTTTCAGCCATTTCATGGTTTAAAAAGGCTATGTTTGAGTGAGTCGATTTAAACCAATTTATGCTTATCATCACATGCACTTATTAGCCTCCAATAACCATTAATAACATTATTGTGTATTTTGCTTTTAACTGGGCTGTGGCTGTATGTACAGCCCAGCTATAAGCAAAATACACAATATGCCCACCTGACTTTAAGCCATTTCGTGGTTTAAAAAGGCTATGTTTGAGTGAGTCGATTTAAACCAATTTATGCTTATCATCACAGGCACCTATTGGTCTCCAATAATCATGAATAAAATTATTATATATTTTTCTTTTAGCTGGGCTGTGGATGTATATGTCGACCTGTGACTATATCCATATTATTAACCATATATTTCGAAAAAGCGTATTGCATCTTTAAAATAACTTGACAGCCTTGAATTGACTTCTAATTCATTCTAAATAAAAATATAAAATATAAAAACCACATACAGTGGCGTCGAAAATGAACTACCCATTTATTTATTTTTTAAATTAAGAAAACATAATAAAATGTAAAAAAAAATAATTAAATGACTAAAAGACATACTTTTCATAAACTTTATATTTAAACAAAATAAAACAGTTATTAAATCCTAAATTTGAATTAAACCTAACTGCATATAATTAAACTAAAGAAATCATATTCTTAACTTTTACAATCACCTATAAAACCTATTTACTATTTTTTACCTCTAAAAAGTTATATGAATCGGAAAATTTTCTTATGTGTATAATGTCTATCAAGAGGAATAAATTAACGACATGGCCTTTAAATGGATTGCATTTATTTCTTTTACTTTACTGCCGATTGTTGACTACTTTCGGCAGATTTCGGATAAAAATATTTTTGCGATTGAATCTTGTACTAAGGATGAAAACAAATAATAGAATGGCGAGTGGATGCAACTGTAACCGATATTTGTACGTAGGTATCACAAATTAAAGTATCTATATAATTTTACCAACATTTTTGGTGAAGTCTGCTGTGATCCATTTAAAGGCCATAAGTCGTTAATTTATTCCTCTTGATAGACATTATACACATAAGAAAATTTTCCGATTCATATAACTTTTTAGAGGTAAAAAATAGTAAATAGGTTTTTTAGGTGATTGTATAAGTTAAGATTATGATTTCTTTAGTTTAATTATATGCAGTTAGGTTTAATTCAAATTTAGGATTTAATAACTGTTTTATTTTGTTTAAATATAAAGTTTATGAAAAGAATGTCTTTTAGTCATTTAATTAATTTTTTGTACATTTGATTATGTTTTCTTAATTTAAAAAATAAATAAATGGGTAGTTAATTTTCGACGCCACTGTATGTGGTTTTTATATTTTATATTTTTATTTAGAATAAATTAGAAGTCAATTCAAGGCTGTGTGATGGGCACGGGGTGGGGGTACCCCATACTCATGCAAACGGCAGTAACCCAAGGCGATTCGAAGAATCGCGCGAACTAAATTTAAATATTGACAGCGCAAGCAGTGTTGTCAAGTTTGGCCAAAAGAAGTGATCGTCTAGAAAATTGAAAGAGGATACCCTACGTTGTGTTATTTTAGTTCGCTTCTAGATAGGTGGAGTAGCCAATGAGAGGAGACCAGATTAGGTAATAAAACACAATAAGTATGGTTGTATGTTTTCTCTATTCATTGTTTGTTTACAATGGAGTTTTTACAAAGGTTTGGTTGACGGAAGTTAGCGTTTTATGTATTGCAGTGTTTATTGAATATTGGTTTTTAGTTAGCGTTTGTTATTTGGACTTTGTCATACCAAGCGTTAATAAAGCAGATTTATAAAATGTTACAAATACAATTTACCCCTCCCAACAATCCAACATGTTATAAAATGAATATTATTGAATGCAAACCGTTTTGTCTAGTGTATTAAAACCTTTTATAGCTATCTAAACATATTCCGCTACAGTGTACATAATAAATGCATAGTTTCCATATTACATATTACAGTATGACCCCTTTGTCGGTTAGGAACTCTATTGGCGAGCTCTAGTCTTGTGAAGAGATTAGATTAGATTACCTTATTTAATAATAATAATACCTCCTATAACCCTCTTCCCTATCGCAAGCAGGCACAATACACCAGACAAGCATTTTCCACGCCCGTCCGCCATCTTACGGAGCAAAGAGCCGCGTAACTTACTCTCGGCTAAATATCCCCAAAACACAACAAATCCACATTATTAAACTTTGTTAAAATATACAACCACCTTAGTTAGTTAATTTAAACAAGGTAAAGGATCATTTTAGCTTACCTACAAGGTTTATTTCTCACCACAAAAACCCACGACTCACTCGGACGACCCTTCAACTTCACCTGTTGCTTTTCTTCTGCCGCCCCGCCAGTTCTCGACCTCACCCAACCTACCTCGACAGGTCCGGCTTTAGCGCGCTCGGTTAAACAGGACCCCATTTAAAATATTCATAAAATACCAAACCGTACAACCCAAGTAATTAAACGTTATATAATTCAAGTATTTTTAAGAAAGGGCAACGCTGCATTATTTTAAAAAACTTAACATTAATTTAAATGTCTAATTTCGAATAGGTAGGATGCTTTACGTGTAGATGTATTCTTGGTTGCGTTTTTCTTGTTTGACGGAGGGCGGTTCAACACAGCTGTCAAGTTATTTTAAAGATGCAATACGCTTTTTCGAAATATATGGTTAATAATATATGGTTAATAATATGGATATAGTCACAGGTGGACATATACATCCACAGCCCAGCTAAAAGAAAAATACATAATAATTTTATTCATGATTATTGGAGACCAATAAGTGCCTGTGATGATAAGCATAAATTGGTTTAAATCGACTCACTCAAACATAGCCTTGAACCATGAAATGGCTGAAAGTCAGGTGGGCATATTGTGTATTTTGCTTATAGCTGGGCTGTACATACAGCCACAGCCCAGTTAAAAGCAAAATACACAATAATTTTATTAATGGTTATTGGAGGCTAATAAGTGCATGTGATGATAAGCATAAATTGGTTTAAATCGACTCACTCAAACATAGCCTTTTTAAACCATGAAATGGCTGAAAATAGTGATTTTTCGAAAACATGGATTTTTAATAGATTTTTTTGAACTCTTAGCCAATAATATTTAAAACTGTTTTCATTGCTTTTATATAGAGTAAGATCTATGGTAACAAACTATATTAAAAAAATTTTGCTGGCAAGTTGTTCTAAGAATATATGAATTTATAAAATTAGACAATTTTGCCAAAAAATTGCATTCTTAAAAAAATTGCCAAAGACCATTTAGGGCATCAATAACTAAATGTGTCCTATATGGTTTAAAAGAGAAATATTTTCTTAACAATTAACAGTTTGTTTAATGTCGTTAGCTTTATTAGCAAAAAAAGTACAATTTTTTTAAGTTACGTCTGCATAGTAACTTTTGCGTAGCCCTGTATAAATAGGTGATAGGGGGAGAAAAGAAAAGGAGAGTTTTTTTCACTTCTTGGGTCCATGTCTATTTACAGTTAAAAAAGAAATAAAATTAGAGTATATGAGGTGCACTCATTGGTGGATAATAAATGGAATTACCCTTTGGTAAAAATAATTAGATTTTTTACTTTTTAAAAACCTTTCAAAAAATATATTTTTGCTTATACTTTGTAAAAAAATTGTCAGGTAGTGCAAATTTGGTTTTATGGATTATTTATCATATATCAAACTTACTATGTTTGACGGCCATTATTAAAACAAAAGAAGGTGATAGTAACACAAAATACGTTATAGTAGCAATAAAATTGGATGAAAATGTAAATTAATGTGTATGTTTACATCTAAAATTTACTTTCTTAAAAATTTCCAGGAATAGCGATGTTATAACGGTTTTCGATTTTGACAGTTTTTTTGTAATGTTTTGAGAACTGCTGTTTTTTTCACTTTTACAATTTAATTTTTATAGGCTTTTAAAAACGCAATTTTTTTTTATATAAATAACCTAGTAGCTCTTCAAATAAAAAATACCCATAATGTACATATTATGAATACACATAGGATACCTTGTGTCCCCTGTATAAATAAGTTTTATCAATTATATTTTGTTTTGAATTGGCGAACGTATTAGAAACACCTTTTCTGGGATAAATATACAAAGGCATTTTAGTGTCATTGTATAAAGTTCATGAGAGGACCCTCAGAGGGAAAGTGAAAATAAAATACTGGTGGGACCTACAATAGGTAAAGAAAATTTTAAAATCGCTATTCTGAGTAACGTACTTTTGAGCATGAAGTTTTGCTTATCCTTATGAGCTCATTATAAAACGCATTTTTTAACGCTAATTTGGCAACATGTGGTATTATTATTGGTAGAACATTGTTCAAGCCAAGTATACTTTTTACACCCTGTAAAACATAATTTATTAAGTATTTCTAATGTCTATTTTTTTATAGAGGTCGTAACAAGTTTGAAATTGAAAAACCCGAAGTTAGTTTATACGAGAAACGTCCATATCGTAACGGCCGAAACAATTTCGAAACTAACCGACGCTCCAGGGGTGGCGAAAGATTCGATACGCGACGACCGAATCCAAGAGATGACCGTCGTGTTCGCGATAGAAGCGATAGAAGAGATTTTGGCGATCGAAACCAAAGAGATCGAGAAAAGGGCAGAGATAATCGAGAGAGAGATAGGAGGTTGAGAAGAAGCCCCAGAAAATCAAGATCAAAAGAAAGACGTAGGTCCAAATCTAGGTCCCGGTCCAAGAGTAGTAGGGATAAGCACAGACATAGGTTGACGAGCCGTGATAGGGCTGAAAAAGCCAAAAACAAACCTAGGTCGAAATCTAGGTCCAAAAGTCCAAAGGTAACACGTAGGGATAGGTCAAAATCCCTAGAAAGGGCAAAGAGGAATGTTGAAGAAAAGGTCAAGGAATTTGATAAGGCTGACGCAGAACAAAAGTATAAACAATTGTTACTTTTGAGAAAGAAAATGGAGCTACTGGAAATGAAGAAAAAAAGAGAAGTTGAGGAAGTAAGTACCTATACACTTTTCAATCTCTAGTTCAGTTTAGGTTTTAAAATTAATAATGGGGTGGGACATGAAATTTTTATATTGCATATTTGGAATTTAAGCAAGTTTGATATTAAACATTTTTTCCTACGTTTCTCAAACAATTTTTGAAAACAATACAGCGTTTTGAAAACCACTTCAATTACCTTAAAGAGAGATCCTGACGATGTTATAACAGATGTGTCAAGAATTACGAATGAATCTGTTTCTAGAGTTAGAACGCTGTATAGGCCCCCACAGACTTCATTATTTTTTATCCGTTTGTATCGCCACGATTCATAACGTTGTGCCAAAAACTGATGTGTGTGGTGGAAAACCGTTAGTTTTTGGCGTTCTTTACACGACGTTCCGAATTGTTGCGATACAAACAGGTGAATAAAGAACGAAGTCTGTGGAAGCCTTTAGTTTAAAACCGCAACGTCATCAGCCATGCATTGCCCACCGTTGTCGGGCAATGACGTTGCGGTTTCAATCTTACAGCGTTCGAACTTAAGCACGGTCTTATATTACACACAGTAAACTCCAATATTTTTTATTTGATCATTTTATTAAATTTGTCAAAATTTTCGCGACGAGTTGAAATAAGTAAAAATATCATGCCTTATGTTATTACTAAGGTTTTCTTGCAAGAAAACACTTTAATAGCGTATTTTTTTAATTTCTGAAAATGTAACTCAAATGTAGTTTGCTGGTTTGATATTAGACCCCTGCAGGGCCGTAGCCAGAAGGGACAGAGAATCTCAAACTATTTTAAAATTTAATATATTTTTTAATATAGCAGAATAAAAACTATTTCTAATATTTTATAATACTTCAATATATGATATTTATTTTTTATCTGACGTACCAAAAAATAATCTATGTATTAATGTGGATAATAAAATTTCTATGAGTCATTTCACGCCAAATCGACCACTTTTAAATCTGACCCCTTTGACTAAAATTTACTACCCTACTAAAAACGTTTCTGTGAATTTTGACATTTTTTTTTACACACCCGAAATTTTGTTTTTTTTTAATCGGTTATTACTTTTTGAAAACCGACTAATAGAGACTTTTTCTTAAATTATGGGATAAATTAAACTTAAAAGATGTTTTTTTCAAAAAAATGTACATTTTATAGAAAAGGATTTTTTTGTATTTTTGTATAAAAAAAGTTGTAAACGAAAAATTAAAACTCGGGTGGGTAAAAAAAAATGTCAAAATTCACAGAAACGTTTTTAGTGAGTTAATAAAATATATAACACATTTTTGTCCAATCATTGGGTTCAAATTTTGCGGATTTAGCGTGAAATGCCCCATATACATAAATAATCGTATTAGTTTTAATCTTATGATGCCCTGGCTAGAAAGACCATGGCGCTGGCATCAGAAACACCCCGGCTACGGCCCTCGAACCCTGATATTAGGTGCGTTCTTTTCGCCTGAGATCTCAGCTCACTTCAGTTAATATGATATGAGAATCTCATAATGAGATGTAGTGATGTGAGTAAGCATTAAAAAGAACGACAAACTCAATTGAAACGCGCAATCTGACGGCGCATACGTGAATAAGGGGCAACATAACCTATCTCTGATATAATTATGTTCTGTGTCATATCCTTATTGGTTTAAATTTCGTGTTTTTCTATGTTTAAATTTGCGTTGAATTATGGATAATACCTTCCTGCACCCTCTGTGTATCTTCAGTGGACAAATTAAGAGTATATATTAAAGACGTTTCCTGATCTATAATACCTACCTATTTTTTCCATAATTGGGTGACAAGCAAAAAGAACTATTTTTTGATAAGAATATTAATTTTATGACATAAAATAAAAGTTTAAAAAAAACTTCATTTTGACATGTTTTGTTTAATTTTATTGTAAAAAGTGTTTTTCTACTTCTAAAAAACAATATTAATCGAATTTTATTAATTATATTAAGTTTATAGTCAATTTACAAAATTTAATTATTTTTATGGAAATTTAAGTTTTATTGCAAAAATTCATTTTTTCGTAAAAAATAATAATTTTATGATATAAAATAAGATTTAAAAAATCTTAACTACTTTCTTTGTTCAATTATATTGTAAAAAGTGTTTTTCTCGTTCTGAAAAGCAAATTTATTCGAATTCTATTTATAATATCAAGTAGCTAATTTACAAAATTTAACTATGATTTCGCGAAAGAATCGAACGATCGATTTACAACACATCTCAGATTTTTTTTTAATTTTAATATTTTGTTTATACATCCAATTTAACACTAAATCTAAATTTTTTTTTCATCTGACTTAAATTTTAGCTCCTAGAAACCATTTAATTTTGCCTTTCACAAAAAGGCCAAATTCCATTATTTTGGCATACATTTTTTATTAAAATACTGAATGATTTGAAATTTGGCCCATGTATGACCCCTATTAGTACCTACAATTCTGTCAAAAAAAAGTTTTAATTTTTTACATACAGGTGGCGCTGCAATTTTTTTTTCTTCGAAAGTAGACGTTTTTTGAAGACAAAAAATTCTCTTAAGCAACAATGCTCAAAAAAACTAAATAGCGTACCAGATAATATAGATATTCCTTTATAATTCGACATATAAAAATTTACTTGCAAATGATGTTGCCGCCCGTAAAGCCAACTTAAAGTTTGGTCTACCGCATTAAAAAAAATTGAATTACACTTTTAACTCTATCCTTATTTTTAAACTAAGGAACTCCAGGTGATGGCTTTTATTGGTAACTAAAACGCAACAAAAAAAAGTTTTATTTTTTTATATACAGGGGGCGCTGCAGCCTTTTTTTCAAAAATAGACGTTTATAAAGACCATAAAGTTACTTAAGCAATATTGCTTAAAAAACTAATGACATTATTTATAATGTATCAGATAATATAGATATTCTTTTATTGTTTGACATATAAAAATTTATTTGCAATAATTAATGCCTGTTGTAGGGACGATTAAAATTATAACTAGTGCACGTACCCGCATATTGTTATATAAACGCCTTTTTTCGCTTTTATTGTTGTATGCGGACAAAAGGTAACAAAACCAAAGAAATTTTAATTACAAATGGTAACAAGTATTTCAGTGACTCTATAGTAATAGTAATAGTAATATGACCATTTGTTTAAATATATTTTAGTATATTTCGAGAGGCAAAGCATTCTTTATTATCGTACTTTAAAATTAAACTAAAGTCAAGCCTATAGGCTGGGAATCAAGTTACCCCAACAGTTGACAGTTACTGTCAAACGGTAACCATAATAACATTTAAAATTTTGCCGTTATTACAAAAGTTGAAATTGGAGAGGGAAAATATCATGCTTTTAAAGGTACGCAAAGTTAATAAATTTTTTTTAAGTAAATCAAAATTCTAGGAATTGAATTTTCTTCTGGAGTAAACATGAAAGTTCCTTGGACATCATCGAGTCGACAAAAGGAAAATCTAAATAATTTAAAAGCAATTAAATATAGGTGCGACGAATTACTTTGCAGTAGGGTTTTTGAAAATGAAGATGATCTTCTAAACCACCTTAAATTTCAAAATCATAAATTTTCTGAAATTAGATAAACTATAGGTGATGTTGCTAGAATGGAATATTTAAAACAAAAAGATGTTTTAACTGCAACTAGTTCAACAATATCTACCGTCAATATATGCCCAAATGAAGAAGATAAAATTTTTTCGAGTATATGCAAAAGGGTTCGGAAGGCGCAAAATTAAAAAATCACGTTTTAATGAAAAACAAAAAGATTTTGTTGGCAACCTTTTTAAAGAAGGTGAAAAAACTAAAATTAAATATACGCCTGAATATATAGCAACAGCTTTACAAAATTATGAAGTAAATGGCAAATTTTAGTTTTTTTTAAACGAGTATATGCATTAGGGTGTTTCAAAAAAATCGACTTTTTCTTTTTCTTCAAATGGTCGGCAAATTCTTTCAGAGAATGTCAACACAAAGACCTCGTCAAAATTTGAGCTTTTAATTTGAAGATTTAGAGGTCTCGGATCGCAATTTTCTATTTCCCATTTAAATAACATGGGAATTTTTTTTAACTTTGAAATTTTATACGTCTGAATCGAATCAACTTATGTCAAGGATCATCTTAGATTTTCATAGTAAATTTAACGCTCTACAAAAAAGGTCTCCTATCATTTTTCTATAAATTGATTCCTTCCAGAGTTATTCGAGGCCAAAGTTTGATTTCCATCGAATTTTCGCGTTTTTTTAACATTTATGGTACAATTATCATTATACGGGTGTCCCGAAATTAGGAGGCCAAACTTAAACAGTGCATTATTCGTATAAAAATAACACTTTTTTTGTTTAATAAACATGTATCAAAAAATGCTCCCTAAAGGAGCTACGGCCCCCTGAATAGGAGCCTAAGAGGATAATTTTTTTTTAACACTTTTCCTAGAGGGTTGAACATGAACAAATGAATTTTCGGTACTTTGGTAATTTTGACATGCTGAATCTAGATCTATAATCAAAACTGTTAAAATTTAATCATAGGCGTAACATTTGGAGGGGGCAAAGTTACAAAAATAGCCCCAACTTTTTTCTGGGTTAATAATTTATTTTTTTTTTATGAAATTATGAGAATTTATAGTTTTTTACGAAAAATAGGTACTCTTGATTTGAATTGCTCAGATGCACCATTTAGAGAAAAATGCATTTATATATAAATTACTCTGCATATTATACACATCTCATATTTTCATTAAAACTTTGTAGTAGGCTTTGGAAAAAAGTGACGTTTTTTTGTTTTTTTTGTTTTTTTACAACACTTCCTATGTTTCAGATATAAATATGTGATTTTTTTACTACATGATGCTAAAAGTTAAAATGGTTTTGTTGGATGTTGGATGGAAATCAAACTTTGGCCTCGAATAACTCTGGAAGAAATCAATTTATAGAAAAATTATAAGAGACATTTTTTATAGAGCGTTAAATTTACTATAAAAATCTAAGA